CTCACTTCAATGCAGGTCATTTGATAATACTGATTTCATTCACAGTGATATAGTGAATATATTTTGGTATAATGACTATAATAGAGGTGTACTGTTAGTAATAATAGCAGAGCTATTGTAATGCAGTGCTGCCTGGCAGGTGGTGTATACATTTATAGGAACATTTTCATTTTGTCAGCAGTTTCTTTTCATATCTTTTCACTCTCTTTGTTAACGTTTTTTTTTATATATATGTTTCTTATACTGTGAGACCAGCTCTATCAGCTCTACTGACAGCTGAGTATCTTGAATGCTTCATTCAGACACATGGGCCAAATGCTTTTGTATTATCTTTGTTATCTAGCAGAATGTCCAAGCTGCACTTTTCCATAGAATGAAAGTGAGTGATGGCTGTCTCTTGTCCCCATCCACTTTTATTGTATGGAAAAATATCTTCACTCAAGAAAGAAAGTCATACAGGTTTGGAATGACATGAGTAAATAACCAAATTTGCATTTTTGGGTGAATTATTCCTTCATTGTAGCATAGCTGTGTAGATCACTCAGCCTGACCCTGAAAGGGCTTTAGTTTGGCTAAGCAGAGTGGACAGGAAGGCCTGCTGAGGCCTCTGGGTGAGAGCTCTAGTTTCATCTGACAGAGATGGAAAATAGCAGAGTAAACAGTCTGGATGCCTCCAGCTTGGTAGTCATACTTTACCTGTCAAATATATGCAGCAGTAATGTTGATGGTAATTGGGGCGACGAGAATGCATAAACCATCACGCCTTGATCTAAGGTCAAAAATGAAATAAATAAATCAATGCAAAGCCTGACCTTGAATCTGCTGACAAAAACGAAAAATGTTAAATCCTTATGTTGATTTTTAATGTTATATTGTGGTCAACATATTTTGTTTGTGTCATCTTACAGCCACTGCACTGTGTGAGTGGCCAAAAATCAAAGGCAGTATTGAATACATATTTTACAGAGAAGGCAGTCCCAGAATATCCGAAATGGGGGATGATAAAAAAAGAAAGCAAATAAAGTGCAAATTGCCAACCAAAGGCTTTTTTCACTAACTCTGTCCTCCATTGCTCAGATAATTTAGCCTTAGTGTAAACAGCGCATGATTTCTATTTACACATTGCATGAATATCATCTATCAGTATTTGCACTTAGTGTGAATATGATGCTATTTGTAGCTCTTTACATATGGTGCACATGGTATCCAGCACTATTTACAGTCATTGTAAGTAGCATATAGCTTCTTTTGAATAGCTGCCTAAATATAATTCATTCAATACCAAAAAGTATTAAAATAGTGAGGTTCAATTGCCTTTAGGATGTTGCCAAAAAGTGTATTAGCATTTCAGCAAAATATCACGGGCAAAAGGTCCATTGTTCATTATCACACAGCCCTTTCTTTTGATCAGTGTGACAAAGTTGTGTGACCAACTTGAACCTGTTGTGAAATCTGCTTGTGGAAGTCTTTCATACCCATAAGAATTTCCCAATTGCATGGATTGCCATTGAAATTACTGGATTTTAGTGCATGACAATTTGCTTAACAACTTTAAACATGACCATAGCTTTATACAGCAAGGCAGCTTACTAAGAGCACAAGTGTGTGTCTAGTCAAATGACTGCAGTATAATGACTGCATTAGACAGTGTATGACTGTATCAGACCATTATTACATAAGGTCTGTCTCATATAGCTGTAGGCAGGAGGACATTGTGCAAATATGTTGCAGTGATGCATTCAAAATACAGTCTATATAGTGGAATACTTAAATCTGCAGGAAGCATCTTAATTTCATATTTATATTTCATTTTATATTTATTTTCATTTTGAATTTAATTCACTTTTTGATTGTATTTTCTGGATTGATTGGATTGTGTAATGCTGCTTATCCCATTCCTCATTTCAAGTTTATAAAGAGGTCAGCAGTATATGCATACAAACAGGTTTTAATATAATTTTTTAGTGGAGTAAATTCATTCTCACTATATGTCCATTTGATTCCCACCACAACAGATTATATTGTCTTTAGGATGTATGTTCAGAAGTCATTTTGTATTGATTCCAAATGAGGGCACATTTGAATAAAACAAATATAGCTGCTGTTCAATTAAAACAAAGGCATTGAACAATAGTCATCGACTGGGCCAGCGGGCGGAGAGAGAGTTCACATGGTCCACTGCTAAAGTGGAGCGCAGGACATAAAGGATTAAACTGCTTAAAGGAATTAACAAACGGTTGGCCGTTTATCAATTATTCATGCAATAGAATCAAATTAAATGGCTTTTGTAATGGGTAAGTACAGAGGGGGTCTCTTTAGAGAATAGATTGCATGCTACACAGGTTACTCTGCTTTTGTATGACGTTCAATGAACTTTCCAAATCAGCCGGTTTGAGTGCATTTTGAAAACTATAAATTACTTTTCAAATTCTTTTATATATCAATGCTGTTAAACCGATGCATGAAGGATTGATTGACGTTGCATCATTTTCACTTTGGCATCATGTGTTTGTCGTTAGTTTGCTTTGTGTGTGTACCTTGAGGATAGTTTGTGGTTCTCCACCACAGTGGAAATAAGCTATATCAGTACGCCCTGCTGAATACCCCTGTACTAATGTAGAAGGAAGACTTCTGCTAAGTGTGAACTGAAGTGTCACTCTTGCTCTTGTCTAGCTGTAGGTCTCTCGATCTGTCATAAGAAGGACCTTGGGTTCGCTGAGGTCACCGTGAGGTTATTTATAGTAGGTCATCATTATGACACAAAGGGTCAGAAACCTGACAAACTATTAACGAGCTCATTATTAATTCATGGAGGGAGAAAGCTGTAATGTGTTCTCGATGTCTCTGATGTGTTCTTCAATCACTTACCTGGAGCTCTGAGAGAATTATTCACACTGAGCTTGTCTGGTGTCTGTGAGGAAGTATCACTGAAATCCTCTCCAGCCTGTGGGAATTTGGTGATATTTGTAGACTTGTAAAAGAGTGGAAGATCTATAGAAGAATATTTGATCATATTTGTAATAGTAGCAAGCTGTTGTTTACCTTCCAAGTCTATTTCAGTGACCAGAAACAGTTCTTATGCCACTCACTATATTTCCATCCCATTACTACTGTATATTAATATATACAAATCTGCAGCAAATTTTCAGTAATAGCAATCTACATGCCAACTCCAAAGACCCTGTTGAATAAGTATTTACAGTATACATAGCTTAACTGTATTTTCACCAGTAGTACCCTTCAGTTTTTTTCATGTAAATTTGCACTTCTTTGTAAGTATTTGGAGTTTTTCTTTCAGCGTTTTTATTCACATTTCTGCCTCAAAGTAAAATATAAAGATAACTGGGAGAAAATATTAAATAAATGCGAATAAAAATATTTTCTTGCAAGCTAGAAATGAAGATGCAGATTATGAGATGTCAGCTTTATGTTATGAGAGTAGTTGTGATGTAGTTATGAAGTTATGACATATGAAGTCACAATTAATCATTTAGAAATAAAGACAAAATTATTAAAATAGCCACACAATTTGGGATATGAAGATATGGGATACAAAGGCACAAATATTAAAATAGGCCCCCAATTAGAGATACAAAGAAATGATCGAGCTATTAAAAGGCACAATTGTGAAAGTCACAATTTTGAGATATTAAGGTCCAGTTGTGAAAAAATAATTGCATTGGTGAGATATAAAGCAAAAGTTACTATTTATATATAAAGGCTATGTATAGGATCTTTATATAAGATAAAATTGTGATATATAAATGGCCATAATATTTTATTTTATTTTATTTTTCAGAAACAGGATTCCAAACACACACACACACTCACTCACACACACACACACACACACACACACACACACACACACACACACACACACACACACACACACAAACAACAACTGTTTAATAGCAAATAAATTTCTTGTGGAAATTTAAATCAAATGTATAAGTTTACCATGAAGACACAGAGAATGTTTATTAAAGAATTTGTCCTCATAATATTTGCATACTGAATTGCATTTGGTCTTCTTTCTGGCATATATTTGTATACTGTATGAAAGAAACCCACTCAATACAGTCCAAACCACCAGCAGTGTGCCACTGCAAAACACACAGCAGTGTGCTTGTCTCCACAATGATCTATGATAACGTCAATAAAGTCATCGTGTATATTACTGATTATTAAACGGACACGCAGTTGCACATACATCACAACACACAGTTTGCAACTGCATAACTCGTGATATGTAGTGACCCTTCCAGCGTTCACAGCAGTATCCTGGCCCAGAATCCTCTCACTGCATGTGCATTAGGCATTGCTTAATTTTGTACACACATATGCTCCCACACACACCCTTGAGGCCATCCTTAAATTAGACAGACGATGCATTTCGCTCTCCTCGCTCCGAGTGTCCTCTTGTCTCGCTGTGATTGACGTGTGGTGGGTGTGGCGGTAAGTAATTCGGTCTAATCATTCCGGCAGGCCCCTGGCTGTGTGAGCTGCGGGTGAATATATCAATACACACAAACAAACACACTGGAGAGTGCAGGACCTCCGAGCCAAGCGCTGGGACTAATGTTCATGTTGTGATGTACTGGGGGATTTCGCTTATCAGACTCTTAATTTGAGATATTGAGGCAGAAAGGAGGTAGGATCTGTGTGTGTGGTAGAGGAGTGATAAAGAATTCGTGATTGATGTTGTGTCAGTGTGGAGCCGTTGAAAGCCTGCGGAAAGAGGGAGGGCCATGTCAGATTTTCGAGGCTGGATCGCTGTAATTGGTCTGGGCTGTTCATAGCCCTGTTAACTTGTCAGTCAAGGCTGGATGGAGAGGGGATAAGATGCCATCTTAATCTGAGAGCATGCACACACACACACACAAACACACACATTGAGCTGAAGGCTGCACTGCGGGTCAGTGATCTGTCAATAGTTCTGTAAGTTATTTGAGTTTGCTGTATTTAATGCATCCCTTGCTTTTTGATGCCACCCTCAGGTACGACTAGACAGCCACGAGACGGCGAGATCACGGGAGTCGACTATAACTTTGTCACCGTTGAGGAGTTCTTCTCGCTGGAGGAGTCGGGGGCGCTGTTGGAGAGCGGGAAGTTCAAAGGTCAGCCCACATTTACGACCCCATACCTGAATAATTTATGAATATAAAGAAGAGGAAGAGTAGAATTGCAGTGCAAATTAATTGCATCATTGTTTTAATATCCTTTAGATGCTTTTTACGGTCATGCATTACATCTATGGCACTTTTGGTGATCTATTGATTCACAGTTCTAAGAGCTCCATTTACACACATTAACATGCATCAACACAACTGTTGTGTTGGCAATACTTGTCTATCCAACAGCTCAAAGTTAAAAGGGATCATTCACCCCAAAATCATCAATTTATTTGGATTCTCACACCAAGCCTTTATGACTTTTGAAGAGCCTGTTATGGTCATTTTAGTTCTTTTTGGAGCTTGACAGTGCTCATCATAGACTTGGTGTTGTTAATAGAAAATTGTTGTCCAGGAATTTCTAATAAATACCTTTTTTTCTGTTATACGAGACAAAAGTCATATCTGATATCAAGAAAATATGATAAAATGGGGCTGTATGTCTGAGACCACTAGTGAAAATGCTTCTATTTTGAATTTTCCCTGTAATTTAATATTAATAGATAAATAGGGCCAGATTTACTAAACAGGGCAAATTAGCGTTAGAGCGCAATTCCATAAAAGCGCAGATGGGAGGGGAAAATTCTGCGGGTGATTTACTAACTATGCGCACATTAAGGAACACAGATGCAGCCAGATCATTTCCAAACTGACCAGCACAATCTACCAAGAGCAGCGCAAATTACCGCATGCTTTAAGACATGCTTTTTTGGGGCGTTAAATAATGGCGCAAATACCAGTAATTTGACGAGCGCAAACGTTAGTAAATTGTGTTGCGTGATTCATTTTAACACTCTCCCATAAATTTTGCATCTCAAAGGGAAACTCTGACAAAAACGTATTCAATAAAGTCAGGTGCAAAAACCACGCCTTTTCGGTGCTAATTCTTCACTGCGCATCTTTAGTGAATCCTGACACTACTATTTTAATGCCAAAAGACGGTTTTGTGCTGGGGCAAGCTGTTAGTAAATCTGGCCCTTAATGTTTCTATTCTATTCTATTCTATTCTATTATGAGCATAATTTAAATGAAAATATGAATTAAACATTTTCTACTCAGTATTTTTCAGTTGGTTAATATGCCTTTTTAATGGTAATTTAATATCTTAATATATTAATATGGTTGAAGAATCAAGCAGCTCAACCTGACTGATGTATTGTAATATGGCACTAATATCTAAAATACCGTGATATCACACATGAGAAAGTCAAACCGATCACAGAATAAGTTGCCTATGAGCAAGTACACTGTAAAAAAGAGTGTAATTTTAACAGTAAAATATTGTAAAAATGCAATGGAAAAGGTTGCTACAGGTTGTTCTGTATGTTTACATTTTTATTGTATTTTTTACAGAATTATTCTGGAAACCACAGCTGCCAGGATTTTTGTAAAAACAACAGAATTAATTTTTTACAGTGTATTATTTCACTTTAGTTTATCTCATTTTGTCTCGTCAGCTGTAGCCTTTAAGTAACTGATCATTTTTTCCTTATTTTTTCCAATTTTACTTATTGTAAATTGGAGAAATGTGATCAGGTTTCTACTTTGAGCCACACAAAGTCAGTTTATACTAACAAAAATGCTCATTGTCCATTACACAGGTAATATACCCTCTAAAATAGTCATTTCAGTGCAAATGTATCGCAATTCAATGTTCATTGTGGAATTGGAAGCTCATTCGTCTTCATTATTACTGTGGGCTCTGTGACACATGTGCCTTTAGCATGTTAGTTATGGCTCTCAGGGGCAGGATCACCTACCTCACCTGATTAAACAAATAAAATGTATTAGCATAAAAAATGCTGCCGCATTTACAAAATGCCATAAACGCCATTCTCACCTTGCCGACACGGCAAGATATGATTTACTTACAACTGCAAAGTTATTCAATCAATAACAGATGGAGACCAGGGTTCAAATCTGTTGAAAGGTCTGAAGATATAATGTCACTCCTGTTGTATAGTGTTCCATCCTTGAGGTGTTTTTTATGCTTTTAGAGAATATACTATGGCAATATGATTATCATGCGTTATTAAGGTGACCTTGATTGCAAGATTTTGTTGCTCCTCTTGGCTATTTGTATTAAAATAAAGCTATGATTCACTCTGCAATTAATAATCATGCATATCCATGGCTTTAATCTAAACTTAAATCCCTATCCTATGTAAATTGTTATGTTAAAAGATACTGATAATACATATGAGATCAAATGTGACACATTTCCTGGACAATGAGGTCAGAGTAGTTCAATGTTTTGCAGCGGATATTATAAACCCTAAAATAAGAGCCTAAAGAAACTCTTCATATAATAACTGCTGAGCAATAATTGTCCCTGAAAGACCTGAATGACATGCTCTTTATATTTACTGGATTAGGGAACTACTACGGAACCCCTCGTCCGGTTCACATCAATCCTGATAGTCCTCCCATCACCTACCAGGAGCACCGCAACCTGCTGAGAAACTTCCGCACACGTAGCAAGTCCCTCAGCAATCTGGAGAAAGCAGGCGAGGAGGGAGACAACAGTGAGGAGGACTCAGGTCTATCAGGTAGGAAGAATACCCATCATTCACAGCATGCACCTTGTGTTTATTAAATGTTTTTGGTAAATTTGTTGCAATACTCTCATATACCAACCCTCAATACATTGGATAAAAATAACTCTATTCAATATGCAAATGATTGTGCAATTCTCAAATGTCTTTATATTCATATTATATTTTAGTAGGTTTGTGTATATGAAAAAGGTTTACAAAATATAGTCGTAAATGTAATTTATATTTGTGACCCTGGACCACAAAACCATGTCATAAGGGTCAATTTTTTCAAAATTGAGATTTACTGAATAAATAAGCTTTCCATTGATGTATGGTTTGTTAGGATAGGACAATATTTGACCGAGATACAGCTATTTGAAAATCTGGAATCTGAGTGTGCAAAAAAATCTAAATATTGAGAAAATCGCCTTTAAAGTTGTCCAAATGAAGTTCTTAGCAATGCATATTACTAATCAAAAATTAAGTTTTGATATATTTACGGTAGGAAAAATATCTTCAGGGAACATGATCTTTACTTAATATCCTAATGATTTTTGGCATAAAAGAAAAATCGATAATTTTGACCCATACAATGTATTTTTGGCTATTGCTACAAATATACCCGTGTGACTCAAGACTGGTTTTGTGGTGCAGGGTCAAATTTGTATTATGTAAAATTATATACATTTTTTTACTACAATGATGTAGTATACATTTTAAATGCATAACTTTATATAGATTTTTAAATTATATGCCATTTGATAATTAAAAAAAAATTTTAATATGTATTTATTTATTTATTTCTGACTATAATCAAACCACATTATCCCCATGTTTTTCCATTGTATTCTGGTGATGTTGGATTGAGTTTAAAATGGCTGCAATCTGTGATCTCTATTACAGTGTGATTTTTAGTCTCATACTTCAGAATGGACCTGAATTCTGTAACTTATGGACAATATGGGTCATACAAACACAAAATAGATAAATACTTTATCCACAATTTCTTTTTTTTCATGAAATCAAAATAAGCGATACTATTCTAAATAATTGAATTTAAACTTGTCAGATCAAGCTAATACATAGATGCCTGAAAGTGGCTTTGCTGAGTGGCTGTGATTATTCTTTGTTTTTTTTCTTGGCTTGCATGCTCAAATTGACAGCAGAGTAGTTACCAGGCAAATAATACTTTTTTTCAGTCATTGTTTTCCTGCTCTGATGTGAGCTCTAACATATTCTCTTTCTTTTTGAGGAGCCTGCAAACCTGTGTTTCGTGTGTTATATTTCAGGTTTTCTTGTCCTTTATTATTATTCCACCTTTCCCTGACATTTGGATCTGAGGAGAAAACACAATATCAGGCACAAAACACAGTAGGGATGCACCGAAATAAAAATTCTTGGCCGAAGCCGAACAAAATGAAACACTGGGCCGAAGGCCGAATACCGAACACGGTTTTTCCAAATTTTTCCCCCGTGTAGGCCAATTTTGCCATTTTTTTCACCATTGCATTAATTAGATTGCCAAAATGTGCTTTTTACTGTTTTGTCCTGCTTTTCAAATAAAAAAATTGTTTCTATTAAAAAACAACAATTTAAAAATATTTACTTAACACTGAAATTTTTTTTTTACATTCTAGCAGACATTAAATTAATAAGTTAGTAAAATAATATTTTTTGGCCATTTTTGAGACTTGAATCAGGCATGTATTTTTTACTGTACAAATAAAGGCAGCCTTGCTGAGCAGAAGAGAATTCTTTTGAAACATTAGAATATATTACAGATCCCAATTTGAACACTATGTGTGAATGTTATAATGAATGTATTAATAGAGCTGTTGTAGGGGAATTATTATTATCATTATTATTGTCTTACTTATTTATTTTATTTTACAGAACGACAGTAAAATTACAATACTAACATTTATGAATGTCGATGGAGTTGTTGCTTTTTCTCTGCTTTTATTTTGGCAGAACCCCGCAGGACGATCTCAGTGCTTCTTTTTGTTGACGACAGCATGCAGATTTATAAATTATTCTCATTACGAATTTGGGAAGATGTTTGTCGCACATATCACAATGTCACATGGCTTTAAAAAAATTCACCAAAATGTTACTGAGCAACAATGAAATTTTCATCTCCGAACAATGAAAGAGATTTTTTTTGCTATTTTCGGCCGAATAATTTCGGTTGCCGAATATTCGGTGCATCCCTAATATAATATATCACAGAGGCTTGTCATTACACAGAATTATCTTGTTATGAAACCACCGATTTTTGGTATTTGATTTTCTTTTTCTTTTTCGAAGACATGATTAAAGTACATATGGTTTGTATTGAAGACAGATGTTTTATAATCAATGTTGGTTGCAGAGCAAATAAAAGGTCAGTGTGACATCAGTCTCAGTTTCTGTTCTCCCGGAGATCTGGAGAAATAGAAGTGACACTGGTTCTTTTGCAATATAATGAGCTTCCAAGCATTCCAATTGCTCTAACTGCACACTTCATGAAGACCTTTGAGAGACTGGTCTTTGAACAGCTCAGATCCCAGTCATAGACCATCTGGGCCCAATCTGTCCACCAGCCACACATTTGACAGGATGCTGTTTAACAAAGAATGAAAAATTTAAGGGGGTCTGAATATTTTCCGTACCCACTGTACACACTCCACAGGGCATGATGCTCCCACCTTGATAAAGATGGCACCACTGCCAGGATTATGTATGTCTGGTTAGGTTTCATTTGGACTTTTCCAGTATCTTAAACACCATTCTGCTCTCTTAAACTTGAGATCAAGTTTATGTTGATGAGCCCACATCTAAGAGTGCAGACTCCCCTACCTGTCTCAACCACTTTAATAGGTTTGAATCACAAGTAATCGGATTTTCCTTGATATGTTCAGGTAAAAGTGTTCATAAGAAATCAAAAACCAACCATTTAGCATAATTTCATGAGTGGTTAACTGATATATTGCCAATGCTGATGTATTAGCCGATTTTTGGCATTTTTTTAAATTATCGTAATGGCTGATGAGTTTTCCTGTATGGCCGATGTGTCGGAAGCAGGACTTTTATTTTGACAGCTTTAAATTCTTGATTTCAGTCTATGCTGCGCTATATCTAGTTGGCCGATATGTTGTATTTATATCATATTCACTGTATGCTGTATGTAAAATTAGCACTGCCTTTTCTTTATTTGAAAAAAAAAAAAAGATATCCAGTCCTGACACACTTACCAGATTACTGATTGCAATGTTGGTTATAGTGTTTACTTCCTATTAATTTTAATTGCAATCATTTTTAATTACATATATTTTAATTAATAAATATAATGTAAAATAAATATGAATTTAATTTCAGCAATTGTTATTAATATATTTAAATTAAATAGAGAGCAGGGTGGCCAATATATATGATATCACACTAAGATATCGGCATAGGAAATAAAAAAAATCTATGTTGTTCGATCACTATATTTCAGTCCAATCTTAACAGTTCAGTTAACAAGTGCCACATTTCAGCGCTGATTGTTTTGTGATATACAGTTAGTCTCAATGCAGTGCTGCTGTTGCAAAGAGACTTGTGCACTGCTGAAAGTAAATTTAGGAATGTGATGAGTAAATGTTTAGATGTAGCTTTTACAATATGATTTATAATTTACGTTTAAAGTTAAATTTAACATTTCGATGTTAGCTCAAACAGTAGAGCATGGCGGCAGCAATGCCAAGGTCATGGGTTAAATTCCCAAAACTAAAGTACTGATAAATGTACACTTTAAATGCAATTCAAGTCTCTTTGGTTAAAAGTGTCAAAAGACGCTAACATTTACATTTTGCTAAATAATTACATATTGCAAAATATTATCCATAAAAATTTTGTTTTTCTGCACATGAACTCAATTAAATATACCATAACATATGGTATGTGGACTAAAAACAGTAAAATTCATTGCCATATCCATCATGATTACTAAAATAGCATCTGTATGCCAGAGTTCATGGCATCATTCGCCTCCTGGTAAATATCAGTGCCGTTAAAGCAGATAGAGTGTGTATGACACTCCAGCCAAGGGTGTATGTGCTTGTTTACAGCTGGGCTTATGATTCTAGTGGGAATATGCTAATTACCTCAGTACAGAGTGCAGGTTGCAGATGTTCAGGTCCCAGCTGGGGATCTTTCATATCCACTTTTCTTTGTATACAAGCACATATGGTATTTCAAGTGATATAAGAGGATGTCTTTATATTAAGGAATAGTTGTTGAGTGAGGGACAGGTTCAGTTTTGCAGCAGAACAGCTTTCTCCTTAGATAATTGAACAGCCATTCAACATATACGGACAATGTATTTTAAGTCGCAGTGAATTACACATTATAGAGGCACAAAACAATTGTCAAAGCTATAGCTTACCCTTGAGAAAAAGAAAACTAAGTACACTTTTGCATGCTTTTAATAGAAGTATTTGGTTAGGAAATAATATTAATATCTTATACTATTATATAAGGACATTGATGCAAAATGAAGGTTAATTTTTCAGACACTTGTTTGTATGTTATTTGCAATTAAAATGAATGCATTATAGTTTTTAAATTTATATTAACTGCAATTTAACTTAACCTAAAAGTGCTTTTTTACACTTAAGTAAGACTTCATATCTGAATAAGCAATTTCATAATTCTAGAAATATGATTTAAGTGTGCTGCTGAATGTACTGACAAGCATTTACAGCAATTACATATACTTAAATGTCATTTCTATAGAAACTTGTATGTCATGTATTTGTAATGACGAGGCTGCAATTTAGTACATTTAACTTTAAATGTAATATTAACACACTACAATTTTAATTATAATCAAGTATGTTACACATGCTTTTGTTAGTAGTCAACACATGAAAATAAGTGTACTGTAAAGCATGACGAAAGATTATTAAATCACAATGATTTAATTACATAGTGTATGCTATACCGAGTTTAATTATCCAATAATCCGAAACTATTTTTGGTTTCGGTTTCCAGCTAACTGTAATTTTGGTTTAGGTAAAAAATGATTTTCAGTATATCACCACTTGTGCTAAGAAGCAACAAAAAAGTTAGTCATCTAGCCTTAGAGATTGTCAGAAGACATTTCAGAGTTTAAGACTTGATGCCGACAAATCTGTCCAGTCAACTCTTTCATAACTTCACTTGGGTTTTGTTTGTCTGTGCACTTTTGTCTGGCCCTGGTGTCTTCACCCCATGGGCAGTGGCACGGATGACAGAGGCATCGATCAAAGCATGACATTGAAGCCAATCAACAGAGGAGGTTTACATACCGATCTGTCTCTATGGATTAAATGTACCGCTCTGTCTCTTAGATGCTGACCCGGCTTACGGTACATTTCACAGCTGACACTGAAGCGATTTCCTTTAGACTGTAGAATGAGGAAAACTTGGTTTTGTTTTTTAACAGAATAACATTTGTGAGAACATACACAAACACCACATACTGCAAAGTTTTGGGAGTGACTAACACATTTCATTATCACTTACTTTATCATTCTGTGTGTGTACGGAATACAAAAGTCACTTCTGAACCTGTGATGACTGATATGGTGATAAACACAGCAATGTTTTGGCATCTTGTGGCTGTAGAAACGTGAATGGTGACAGTTTAACAAATTTTGAAGTGTCAGTGACAAATGACAAATAGCAGTGCCCAGAAATTTTAGCTTTAAAATTTTGTTTAAAAGAAAAAAAAAATCTTTGTTTTCTTGTTGGTTTCATGTGATTCAATATGTTTTAATACCCTTTTCAAGAACACTTTTAATTTTATAACTATTAAAGGGGTCATATGATGTTGCTAAAAAGAACATGATTTGGTCTATTTGGTGTAATGAAATGTTTATGCGGTTTAAGGTTAAAAAAACATTATTTTCCACATACTGTACATTATTGTTTTTCCTCTATGCCCCGCCTTTCTGAAACGCGTCGATTTTTACAAAGCTCATCGGTCTGAAAAAGCGAGGTGTGCTGTGATTGGTCGAATACCTCAAGCGTGTGACGGAAATGTCACGCCCCTTACCATACTGTGATGCCGTGTCCCGGCCAGAGCGACGAGACAAAAACATTAAAACCTATTATAAACGAGGCATTTGTTGCATCCATAATTACGGATTATAATGACTTATACTGTCTTTTTATGCGTTGCATCGCGCAGTGTAAACATAAAACAGTGTCTGCATTTGTGATCTGAGAAATGACAAACAACAAGTGCTACTCTACACTGCTCAAAACTCGCGTTTGAATCATCAGTGGCAAATTCTTTAAATATGAAAACGTACTTACAGTCTGTGAGTCAGAACAGCCGGCATTGTAGTATACTTTCCCAGGATCAGGAAACAGTCCTCCATAAAATGTGCTGCACACATCTGAATATTTGGGTTGAACTGTTCTGGAACAGTGTTGTAAATACAACTTAACCACTGATTTCTAGTCATGTCCTTTTTTGGAAGGCCAAACAAAGTAGTTTCGCTTTCACAATGAAACACAGCGTCACACACGACGGGCTAGAGTGAGCGGAGGACGGCTTGAGTGAGCATAGGCCGGCGGGCTAGAGAACGGCGCGGCCGGTGGGCTTCCAGCAACCACATGTGACGACCCCGGGCTGGACTCCGCTTCATCCACGGTGAAAGCCGATCCGGCGATCCACAGCGCAAAGTTGATGTATTGAATTACGCATCATTATATTGCATGACGAAGCGGATATTGTCCTCTTTTGGAAGGCCAAACAAAGTAGTTTCGCTTTCACAAAGAAACACACAGTGTCTCCACGACATGGCGGCGGCGGCAACAACAATACTACAGCGAGAATAAAAGTTACGCCTTCTTTCTTTGCGTGAACATTTGGGCGCCGTTATGCAAATCTTCCCACATCGTGACGTAGACATGTTGGGGGCGTGTTAGAACGAGCCGTTTTACGTAGGCGTGGCTGACTCTTAACTTTTATAAAGAATATCTCTTTGGATTTGAGATTTTAGTCTTGCAACTTTACAGATCTTCTTTATGCACCAAGAGCTTGTAACACTCCAAAGAGAAAGGAAAAATTTTAATCGCATCATATGACCCCTTTAAGATTAAGTAATTCATAAACATCTTTTTGAGGATTTGTAATAAATTACATTTCACAACCTGATCTAACTCAGCTATGCCATAAAAAAATATTAAATTACCTGATAATTTAAGACAAATCCGCTTATTTAATTATGAAGACTTTTTTGCCAAACTACCTGAAAAGAAAAAAGAATTTCATTCTTTTAAATCTTTTTTTTTTCTTCTTTCTTTTTTTATGATCATGGTATCAGGATAGTAATATCACGGAGATATTTTCATTTTATGAACAAAAAAATAAATGTCAAAATAATCAAAATAATTTTTAATTCAGAAATTAAAAACATGCTCTTTTAGTCAAGCCATTTTGCATGAATTGCAGTTGTGATGTACAGTATTTTTGAATAAATAAATAGAAAGAGAAACAGTGATCCACTGTCAGCAGAAGTGTTGTTAAATGTAATCTGTTTAATTACTTATTTGATTTTACTGAATTAAAAACTAGTTGATCAGTTCAGATACAACATGACAGCTATATTTAGCTGCAGTGTAGATATGGCCAATCACAGACAAACACATTTTATAGGGACCTTGTATAAACATAATTATTTTTATACTGTAAAAAAACATATATTCTATCCCCTGAACCTAAAGCCTGTTTAAAAAAAAAGTCCCCACAAGGTCAAAAATGTCAGGTTCTACTGTCCTTGTGGAAATATTTGGTCCCCACGATGTGGGATTTACCCGGACCACACACAAACTTGAAAATGTGTAATGTCTGTTTTGGGTTTGTTTCATGTTCTTGTTTTCATGTCTTTTATTTTGTAGTTTGATTCATGCTTCCCTTGCTCTCATGTATATCTGCCTTGTGTATGTGTTATGTTCTCATTGGTTATTGTCTTGTCATGTGATTATCAGTTCTGTTTGCTCATTGGTTGCTTTAGTCATGTGCATTGTTCCCCATTGGTTGGTTTGTGTCATGTGATCCTTTTTGTTTGGTATAAGTAGCCCTCTTGTTGCCAATGTCTCTTGTAGTTTATTAATGTCTGTATCTGCTGTCGGTGATTCTAGTCTGTTCATGCTACATCAATTGTGTTCAAGTGTCGTGTGTTTAAGTCAAGTGTGTTCAGGTCAAGTCAAGTCAAGTCAAGTCAAGTCAAGTCAAGTCTTTATTTGGATTTGTTCAACTTGCCGTTCAGTGGACTGCTCATTACAGAATACATCATTGGTTATTGTCTTGTCATGTGATTATCAGTTCTGTTTGCTCATTGGTTGCTTTAGTCATGTGCCTTGTTCCCCATTGGTTGGTTTGTGTCATGTGATCCTTTTTGTTTGGTATAAGTAGCCCTCTTGTTGCCAATGTCTCTTGTAGTTTATTAATGTCTGTATCTGCTGTCGGTGATTCTAGTCTGTTCATGCTACATCAATTGTGTTCAAGTGTCGTGTGTTTAAGTCAAGTGTGTTCAAGTCAAGTCAAGTCAAGTCAAGTCAAGTCTTTATTTGGATTTGTTCAACTTGCCGTTCAGTGGACTGCTCATTACAGAATACACGACCAAGAACATGAACCCAGCAGTTTCACGCTTCCTCTGCCTGCGTCAAGGAAACAGGGCTATAGAGGAATATGTGGAGGACTTTTGCGAACTTTCTCACTGTGTGGATTTTATAGTCAATATATTGACTATGCTTTGTTGCTGGCTGGTTCACCTCTTACTGTTGGGATGGCTGATGAGGAGCCCTGCAGTTTTGCTCTACCATCCGCACCAGAGCACTTTCACGTTCCAACTGTTATGTCTGGAATTATTCATGTCACGTCAGACTCTACGGAGCCTGCTCACGTCATATCTGCTACGCCAGAGCCTGCTAACGTCATACCTGCTACTCCAAGGCCTGCTCACGTCATGCCTGCTACTCCAGGGCCTGCTCACTTCATGTCTGCTACTCCAAAGCCTGCTCACATCATGTCTGCCAAGCCAGAGCCTGCTCACGTCATGCCGGCCACTCAAGAGATTCTTCACAACATGGCCACCATTCAAGAGCTTCGTTGCAAGATGGCCGCCACACAAGAGTCTCTTCGCGAAATGGCTGCCCTTCTAGAGTCTCGTTACGTCTCAACTGATCATCCAGAGTCTCGTCACTTCGCAGCTGATCGTCCAGAGTCTCGTCATGACACAGCCACCATTCCAGAGCCTCGTCCCATCATGGCCGCCATTTCAGAGTCTGCTCACGTCGAGCCTGCTACCCCGGCCAAGTAGTAGATGCAGATGCGGAGCTAGGGCCAGGACTAACAAGACTTATTGCCAGTGTGATGGACCCACCACTGATGTCAGTGCGAGTGGCTGGCATCCCAGTGGTCGCAACACTCTCAAGCCCGACAGGCCTCCCTCTGTCTACTGTGCTGCCCGTAATGGCGATCGCCATTTTGAGCATGTGGACTGCACACTGTGCTCCAGAGGCCTCTTCTGTCCATGAGTCTGCTCCAGAGGCCTCTTTTGTCCATGAATCTGCCCCAGAGGCCTCTCCTGTCCATGAGTCTGCCCCAGAGGCCTCTCATTTCCACGAATCCGCTCCAGTGCCTCCAGAGGTGACGGTGTCCGCTACAGATCCTCCCGAGGGGGCGGCGTCCGCTTCTGAACTCATAGTCTGCCCTGTTAAGGTCAAGAAGGCCATTCATGAACTCACAGTCTGCCCTGTCACGGCCAAGGAGGCCGTTCATGAACACACAGTCTGTCCTGTCACAGCCAAGGAGGCCGTTCATGAACACACAGTCTGTCCAGTCACGACCAAAGAGGCCGTTTATGAACATTCTGCCTGTCATGTTGCAGCTATGGTGGCTGCTCACAAACTCTCTGCTTGATCTGTCACAGTCAAGTGGTCTGTCCATTTCTCTGCTCCGCCATGGCTTCCTGCTCTGTCGGCACCACTCGGCCGTCCTGCTCTGCCTGCTCCGCCATGACCCCCTGCTCTGCCTGTTCCGCCATGGCCCCCTGCCATTGTCTGTCACTGCTCCACGGCCCAGGTCCTCCAGTGTTTCACTGTCTGCCACTGCTCCACGGCCCAGGTCCTCCAGTGTATCACTGTGTGCCACTGCACCATGGCCCATGGTCTTGCCCTATGCTCCACAGCCTAGGCCATGATTCTGAACCTGTTCCCCTGCACGGGCCTGGCCCTCCATCCCTCCCCCTATTCCACCTCTGCTCTACCACCCTCCTGGACTTTTTGAGTTTTGTTTCTGTTTTGGGGTGGGTTTTTTACTAGGGCATCAGGTGCCGCCCTTAGAGTAATGTCTGTTTTGGGTTTGTTTCATGTTCTTGCTTTAGTACTCTTTAATAAGAAAAGAGTACAGATGTTTGAAAAATGTAATAGTATGTTTCTACTTTGAATTATTTATAAGATGCAGTACATCATTGCTAACTGTAGAGGGTGGTATAAATGTACATATTTTAGGTTTTAAGAACATCTCGGTTACGTATGTAACCTTGGTTCCCTGAATAGGGAACGAGATGCTGTGATGACGTCATCGCTTTGGGAACACCTTCGGTGTGAAGAATGTCTGAAGCCCTTATACCATCACGCCAATTCATTGGCCAAATAGCACTTAGCACCGCCCCCGACGTGCACGTAGGTGAGCTATATCAGCGTGGACGAAGTTTATGAAGAAAGCACTATCAAAGGTATGGAACGGCCCGCATCGCAGCATCTCGTTCCCTATTCAGGGAACCAAGGTTACATACGTAACCGAGGTGTTCCCTCTCATAGGCTCTCTTCGATGCTGCGATGACGTCATCGCTTTCGGAACGCTATACCATAACGCCTGACGTACCTTTAGATAGCTGGAAGACCAAGGAAAGCGTCTGATCAAACGGATAAGACCCGGGAGCCAAGAGCCAACCTCACATCCAGACTGTAGAATTTGATGAAAGTGCTAGGAGAGGACCATCCTGCCGCAGCACAAACATCTTCCATCAAGGACCCTTTGAAGAAGGCTTGAGAAGAAGCCACTGCTCTTGTAAATTGAGCACGCACCTCTTAAGGCGAAGTCAAGCCACGCGCCTCATAGGCCAAAGAGATAGCCTCCACTATCCAGTGTGACATCCGCTGTTTAGTGACAGTAGAACCTCTGATTTTACCACCAAAACACACAAACAACTGGTCAGATCCACGCCACTGAGCCATGAGATAGCCTCCACTATCCAGTGTGACATCCGCTGTTTAGTGACAGTAGAACCTCTGATTTTACCACCAAAACACACAAACAACTGGTCAGATCCACGCCACTGAGCCATGCGGTCGACATAGATCCTAAGTGCCCTCACTGGGCAGAGACTCAGGCTAACTGGCCCCGCATCAGCTGGGGAGAAGGCCTCTAAAACCACTTGCTGAAAGCGAAACGTAGTCGAAGCAACCTTAGGAACATAATCAGGCCTAGGTTGCAAAAAGACATTAACCAGCCCTGGGGCAAAGTCCATACACGAAGGGTTGATGGAGACAGCCTGCAGATTCCCTAGCCTCTTAAGGGAGGATAAAGCCACCAAAAGAACCGTATTGAGGGTCAAGAGCTTCTCTGACACAGACTCCAACTGCTCAAAAGGATGGCCTGTCAGGCCCTCCAAAACAATCGATAAGTCCCAAGAAGGAACTCGTGCTGGGTGGAAAGGCCTACGCCATTTTGAACCCTGCATAAAACGGGAGACCAGGGGGTGGCGACCAACTGAAACACTTCCCACAAGTGCATGCCCCGCCGACATGGCCGCCACGTACACCTTAAGAGTGGCGGGGGGAACTCCCCCAGAAAAACAAATTTTTAGAAA